AGGAAAGGAAAGGAAAGGAAAGGAAAGGAAAGGAAAGGAAAGGAAAGGAAAGGAAAGGAAAGGAAAGGAAAGGAAAGGAAGAGAGAAAGAAGAAGGGAAAGGAAAAGGAAAAGAAAGGAAAGGGAAAAATATGATCAGTAGGGCTGTTGTGCACACTTTGAAAATGATTTGGGAAATGGACTTCAGACCATATGTGTGTGTATGAGCATAGCACTTCTCTGACTTTTTTCAAGCAGCCTGATTTTTTTCCAGCCTTCCCTGCCTAAAAAAAGATGTTGCTGCTTTCAGAAGCACATGAACTGTAACTTCTTAAAGCAGCAGCATCTCCTTTTTCAGGCTCACCCAGAAGCCCAAGAAAAGATGGGTTGTTTTAAATAATAGCTGAACAGTTTTGTGCTCATGCCAGGGCCAAAGCATGAAGAATTTCCAAAGAATGCATGGCCCTGATTATCAGCATATGAGAAAGAGAAGAAAAATACTGGTGAATCTTGTGGAAAAGCAAACTATGATTCTTTACAAAGTGCAAAGTTTGATTGATGTACTTTTAAAGAGAAACTACTTGTTGCTTCCTGCAGTGTTATTGTTAAATACAATTTTAATTGTTTAGAAACCATTGGTCCTCTGAGTAGAGCAGTGTTTCTCAACCTCAACAACTTTAAGATGTGTGGACCTCAACTCCCAGAATTCCCCAGCCAGTCATAGCAGGTAGCCATGGGTACAATAAGTGGGCAAACAGAAACAAGCTTGAAGATCATCTCTCTTGACTTAGTGAATGAGCAGCCCATGGCATCCAGAGTCCATCTTCTCTCTAGGCTGAGATTCCCTGTCTCTTACAAATGGTAACCATTATTTCCAAATTTGTATGTGAACATGCATACATGCATGTGGGTCATCATGCATGCATAACCATAACACATGCAAATGTGATGTAAATCTGCACAGACTCTTCTTTCTGAGCTTGAAGCACCTCTTCAAAAGCTGAACTTGAAGCACCTCTGCAAAAGCTGCATTGAAGCTGCTTCTCATCCAGCTTTGCAAACCATGGACAAAGTTTTTGTTCCTCACTTGGAGAAAAGACTTTGGCCAGCCAGTACCACCAGGCTGACCTTATCGGGGAGGAAATTCAAGGGCTGGAGGGCAGATAGAAAGTGGAACACAGCAACTTGGAGCAGGCAGTGGCAAACCAGGTTTGTACCATTGTGGAGAAAATCCCACAGCTGCATCCATAGAGGCACCAGGAGTGGAGTTTGATGTGAGGGCATCTTTAACCCTTTTCAGAGAAAAGGAACCTGAGACTAATTTCTGCAATGATTAAAGAGGTTGAGGCTTTGGGTGTCAAGGTTTCAAAGTGAGTTCTCATCCCAAAAGGCCTGGTAAAATTATTCTGGCTTTGGAGTCTTTGGTGCTCTCTGAGCTTGGTGGTTTCCCTGCAGATGTTTCATTACCTGACTGGGTAACATCATCAGTGCTGGTGAGTGTGGGGTTTGCTGCCTGTTTATAAACAATAGCTTGCCCTGCCAGTATTGGTGGGGGAGTGGTTTTCTCCTTGGTGGTTCCTTGATTTGTTTTCTGCCTGGTTGTTTGTCTGGTGTTAATCCCTGCTTCTCTGGGTGTACAGTCGGCTGCTGGAAAGGATGTGTTCTGGTCTTTTTGTTCCCTTCTTAGCTTTTTTTTAATTGTCTCTTTTGAATGGTGTGTAAATGTGGTTTATCTCTATGTGTCTGTTGATGGCTGGCTTGTCTGAATACCAGGTTTCCAGGAATTCCCTTGCGTTTTTGGATTTGGCTTGGTCTAGGGTGCTCACAGTTTCCCAGTTGAAACTGTGCCTGAGTCTGTCCGTGAGGTGTGAGGTTAAGGAGTTTCATTGTGTCTTCTGACTGCTCTTGGTGTTCATGGATGTGCTCTGCTACTCTTCTGCCAGTCTGTCCTACAGAGTGGCTGTTACGGTCCTACACTGTACATTGTAGTTGACTCCTGTTTTTTCTTCTTGGGCTACTCTGCAAAAGAGAGGGACAACAACTGCATTGAAGCTGCTTCCCACCTATTCCAGCCTTTTCAAAAATCAGGCTGACGAAAGCCAATGCCTGTTAGAATTTGCTCATTGGAAAAGGCGCTACCAGATTCCTCCTGATTTTGGGCTACCATAAACAGCTTCCTCCTCCCACATCCATCCTTTTCAACTGGACATCTTCAAACGGAGTTGCGTTCCAGCCTTCAGAACTTAGTTCTGCCAACTTAGTTCTTTCTTACATCCCCTTTGGCTCAGCTGCCCTTTGACTGTCTCTACCCAAATTTGCATCATATTTGCATATGTTATGGAGATATGCATGCCCAGTGACACACATGCACATATGCACGCTCAGGTGCATCTTTTATGAGCAGCCTACAGATAGGCTTGGAAAGAGTTTTTCAATGGAACATAGTTTGGCCCCTGGCAAAGAAGCCACCCTTTCTCCTTTTTAATTTTGCTTTTACGTCAGAAGGTCGGCCAGCTTAGCCCAACAGCGTTGATGCATCTGATTAATTTTGTGGCTGGATTAAAAAAGAAAAAAGAAAGCTTGCTCTTTCAGGGTTCCCCCACAGCCTCCATAATGAAGTAAGCTAGAAGGCCAGGGCGGGGAGGGATGGTGGATAAACCCCCTGCCTTGATTCCAGGCGTGAACTGCCTGCCTGCAGAGATTAGGAAAAGAAATTCATTTCCCGACTGAGTCACATGAGGCAAATCTATCCTTCCCTCGTGATGTTTCCTCCGTCTCTCACTTCTCAGGAGTTGGCCGAGCTTTGCATTTTCCGTAGATCACACACGGATGTGAGCAAATGCATCTTTTTTCTAACATGCTGAGTCTGGGGAGGAGATACTGACCCAGAGTGCTAAGCCTGCTTAGTGTCATACCTGCCTTACCTGACCTTGTCTGGGCTCAGAGACTAAGCAGGATTGGGTTTAATTATGCTTTGGATGGGGGACCATCAAGAAGTCCCGAGCTGCAAGCTAAACTGGCAAGGTGACAGCCGGTCCCAGAAGAAGACAGTGGCAAACCACTTCCATACAGCCATCAAGAAAACCACACGGGTGTATCTCTGAAGTCACTGGGAGTTGAGTTCAGTTTGGAGGGAACTTGCTTAGTTTAATTTCAACCCCACTGAGGTACACATGGACTGTGTTTGCGCATCACTCTTCATTTGATTAGGAAATTGGCCCCTTTTCTGAGTTTGCATAATTCATTGAATGATGAACTAACTGGACATACCAAGCCATGCAGCCACACACCCCTAACTGGGATTAATCCTAACCAAAGTTAGCCGTTTGTATGAATGTATGGCACAAGTAGTCCTCACCTATCGACTGCAATTGGAACCGGCAGCTCCGTCATTAAGCAATGCGGTCGTAAAGCACGGCATCACATGACTACACCGACTTATGGCGGCAGTTCCAGCACTTCCGGTTGCTGTTGTTAAGCGAATCCCACTTCACCATCTGTGATCTCCTGCCAGCTTCCCCATTGACTTTGCTTGTCAGAAGCCAGCAGTGAAGGTCGCAAATGGCGATCACGTGACTGCAGGATGCTGTAATGGCTGCAAGTTCAAGGACCGATGATAAATCTCCTTTTTCAGCACCATCATAACTTTGAATGGTTGCTGAACGAGCAGTCAGTAAGCGAGGACTACCAATAACACATTGAGTGTACAAGTGAAGCTGTGTTACGCCTTGTCAATCTAACCATGTTAAGTCTCCCTGGTTTTTTCCCTTTCCCTTTATTTTCCTCTTCAGATTGTCTCAAGCAAGAAGGTAACCAGAGCACTCCTTCTGGGGAACGGAAAACCAGCCGGAAAGGGAATGATAACGGTAAGGTGCTCTTTTCAGACATACGACATTAAAGCGGCCCCAGATTTGGTTCCTGAAGTCTAATGCTGTTACCAGAATAATGCATGGTAAATATTTTGCCTTAACTAAAAGAGCTTGTGTGATTTTAGTTACCAAGTTTATTTGTTGCCATGATGAGTAAGAAAGGGGAAAATATATTGATTCCTAAGAGGGAAAAGCACCTGAGACGCAATGATATTTGTGGGGGCTGAGCACAAAATGTAGTGGTTTTTATTCAGAGGAAGCCCTTCCCAGAATGTCCAGGTTCCAATCCTGCAGCCACAAGGGCAGAGGAAATCTGTACCACTAAAGTGAGTGTGTGTAAGGGACACAGGGTTCTGTATGCAGCCAGGGCCAGCCCTAATGTTGGGTACAGTGAAGTGGTGACTTTGTGCACGAGACCAGGATGAGCATTGGAGGCCACATCTCCAACTGCGTCCTTCCTGCAACAGCCATGTTATTGGGTGTAAAGTAGGAGGGATCCTCCCGAGAAACACTTCCAAGACATATTTACAGAGCAGTTGACAGTGGAGACATGGGCAGGGGTACACCCGTGTGATAGGGGAGAAGAGGACGTGTGTTCTTCCCTTGCCTTGAGGGTCAAATCCTTTGGGGCTGGCTCACCTGTTGGCCCAAGTCCTGTTGTGTTTTTCTGTTTCCTGGATTGGGAGTCACAGTTGTGTTTCCATTCTTTTCAGTGGGGTAGAATTCTCTGTGTAATTGGTCGTTCTACTTGATCAAGTAAGGTGTTACTTATGGGATGAGTTATCACAAAATTGATTGATTATGCACCATCACATTGGTGTTGACTCTTAGCGACCACATGGATAGTTTTCCTCCATGATGATATGTCACTAACCTGGTCCTTCAAGTCTCCCAATGGTGCACTCATCGCTACTGTAACTAGGTCTGTCCACCTTGCTGCTGGTTGTCCTCTTCTCTTTCCTTCCACCTTTCCCAGCATTAGAGCCTTCTCCAGAGAGCTGCTAGGTCTTCACCTAATGTGTCTGAAGTTGGATAATTTGAGCCTGGTCATTGGTGCCTCGAGTGAGAGCTCAGGGTTGATGATCCATCAGTCTGTTTTCTTGTCTGTCCACTATTCTCAGGAGTCTTCTCCAACTCCAGAATTCAAAGGCCTCAATAGTTTTCCTCTCCTGCTTCTTTGAAGTACAACTTTCGCTTCCATAGAGTGTCACAGGGAATACCATGGCTTGCATGATTATGATCTTTGTAGGTATGGACCCATCACAGCCTTTGAATATCTTTTCCAAGGCCTTCATGGCTGCTTTACCAAATGCTAGTCTGCGGTACTTCTTGACTGCTTGTTCCTTTACCATTGATGGTTGATTCTAAAAGGCAGGAGCTATCCACCACTTTGATACCTTCGTTGTCATTTCTAAGGCCGCTGGTTCTATCAGTTTGGTCTTCTTTATATTTAATTTTAGCCCTATTTTTTCACTGTGCTCTTTGACTTTTATTACTAAGGTTTGCAGATTCTTTGCATTTTCAGCTATCAGAGTAGTGTCATCATCATAGCACTGGTTATTGGTGTTTCTTCCTCTGATTTTAAAACCATGATCATCTTCTTCCATATCACAACATGCTTAACCTAAAGCCAGCTTCACAAACCCTCATTCTTGTATTCATAAAACATGCTATGCTTAGCTAAATAAGCTATGTAATAGCTTATTATGATATCATGGTTCACACAACCTGCTAAAACAACAGCTGCATTCTAGCTATGCTCTGAACTATAAACTACTAACTCCATTCTAGCCAAACCACTTAAATGTCTTCACAATATCATATTTGGGGTATAGCAGTCTCTCCCCAGCCTGGTGCCTTCCAGATGTATTCCCAATTCTGGGAGTTGAATTCCCAATACTTCTGGGGGGCACCAGGTTGGGGAAGGTGAGGCTGTAGGGTTTGAAGTTCAGATTTGATACTTACATTTTAGCACTCCTTTTTTCTGTAATCCAGTTTAGAGTTTCTGAGATGTCTTTCAGTGGTATGTCCAAATCTCTTCTCCTAAACATGTTGTTTGGCTTTAATATATATATATATATATTTAATTTAACCAACCACTTTATTCAGATTTATTGATTTATATTCCGGCAGAAGTCTCATGGAATGGCTAACAAGTCAGTAAAAGTCAGTAAAAATTGTTTTCAGGCTTGCCTTCTAAAAAGGCATAATATAAAAGGAAAAAGAGAGGGGGAGGGAAGAAAATCATTATTAGCAGGAAAACCATTTGTACCAACGTGCGCATGTGTGTATAAGGGCGCCCCCCTCCCCCAAACACGGATGCACTTCTTTGCAAATTCTTGCACGTGCAAAAGATCTATAAGTGGCTCCATAAGACCGAAACAATATAAAGGGCTCGATAGAGAGATAATCTGGAACGTTTGTGAGTAAGAGCAAGCCTACTACTTAGCAACAGGTATCTTAGCAACGGGCCTTCTCATTGCACACGGAGGTCTGCCTTTTCCATCAGCTGGTTGTGCTAATGAAAAGAGGCAGCCTGCAAGTGGAGTAGAGCCAAAACTCTTCCAATCTGTCTTTTAAAAGAGTTGTTTCTCTCAATTTCTCATTCTCTTTTATCTCGGTATCTTTCAAATGGGATGAACAGCTTGTTCCATGCTTAATAATGATATGAATCTATATGATGAGCTAGCATGCTTTGAAAGGCGCATGTGGTAGGAGATCACTCAGCCTTGCACTGTCACCTCTGGTGAAGTTTTAAATGGTCTTAACTCCTTTGCTGTATTGAGAACAAGGGACAAAAAGAACGAAGAGCTCCAAAGTGTCTTTGAAGATTGCATTAAATGCTGAAGAGGCAAGCCTCCTTTTCGTTTACTGGGTAGTGGCTTGTCTTCTCAGCTGTGCAAGACATTGCAAAGAGAATGTTGCAGGGATTAGGTTCCCAGAGGAAAAGCCATAGTTAATTGAAAAGCCACAATTGGCTGGATTCATACAATCATAGTGATTTATTTCAAGTGTTTGTGGCTTCTTCTACAAAGCCCAGGTAAGCCAACTACGGTGTTTCAACAGAGTCTGTGTGTTTTGTGCTGTATGTCAGTGGGCAGTTCTGCCCAATGGCAGATCCACTGAGTGTTGTATGTGTTTCCAGATGTATGAAATAGAGCATTGTTTGGATCCTAGATTGATCACAGAATCAATTGATCACAGAAAGATGTGTGGACTTCAATGCCCAGAATTCCCCAGCCAGTATTCTGGCTGGGGAATTCTGGGAGGTGAAGTCCACATGTCTTAAAGTTGCCAAGTTTGAGAAACACTGTCCTAGTCCAACTCTCTGTCCAGGATAGGAATTCACTATTACAGCATCTCTGTTTAGATACTTCCAGCAAAGGAGATTTCACCACTTCCTGAGGCTGCCCGTTCCATTGCTCAACAGCTGTTATTGTTAGAAATTTCTTTATGATGTCTGCTCCAAATCTACTTCCTTGCCATTTAAGCCCATTGTTTCTTCTCCAGTTTTCTGGAGCAACTTTGAACAGTTCTGCTCTGTCTTCTGCATGAGAGTTCCTCAGGTACTTGAAAAGAGCTGTTAAGTCTCCCTAAAACTTCTCCAGCCTAAACATATCAACACTTTCAACCATTCCTCTTCAGGTTTTCCTTTCCAGACATCCCATTCTAGTGAAGTTGCCATCTCTGATTATTCGTTAGATCAGGAATGAAAAATGTATGATCCTCCCTTCACTCCTCACGCTTGTCCACATTGGTTAGAGCTACTGAAGATAGGAGTTTAGCAACATCTGAAGAGGCAAATTCTGCCCTCTGCTACCTGGGAGATATACTCTCAGGAAATCTATACAACCTCTGTTGGAAATGGATGTCCTAGCCAAGCTATAGAAAATCTGCTAATGTGGGCACCGGTGACAGTGGCAGAGATCTAGAATCCTGTTGCTCAACTAAGATCAGGAAGGCTCCAGGGAAGACCTAATCTCTCCAGAGTCCATTAAAAACAACTTGGACTTCTGGGCCCCTACTCTGGCCTCACTCTTTACCTGCATCAACACCTGTGGCCGAGTCCCCAAGGATTGAGGGTTTGCAATCATTGTCCCTATATAGAAAAAAGGGGAAAAGGATGTTCCTGCTAATGATAGACCAATCAGCCTCCTCAACACAATTAGTGTCAGCCTCCCAGATAGACCAGACAGGAAAATAAGCTAATTCTACTTTATTGTAAGGCTACATTAACAGAATCTTGCAAGTCTGAAAGTACAAATCTCCTGCCATCTCTTTTTACAGCCTGATAAGTTAGAATGGATCCTTTCTAAGTTTCTTTCTCTGTCCATTACGTAGTTAGGGCTTCTCCCCCTTTTATCTGATTGTTCCCCAGGCAGCATCTCTTCTCCTTGTCTCTCAAGGTCATTCCAGATACCATTAAAATCAGCAAACTCTATGCAAGACAATCGAAATTCCAGGACTGGCTGGAGCAAGAAAACATCCTTGCAGAGGAGCAAGCTGGCTTTAGGGAAGGCTGTTCCATCATTGATCAGTACTCCACCATTTCACTGAAAAATACTCTTCCTACAACATAACCTCCCTTTATGCCACTTTCATAGACTTCAGAGCAACATTTGATTCCATATCCCAAGCTAAATTGTGGGAAAAACTGGAGGCCTCCTTGACTGACTGACATCTACTTCATTTAATATGTATACTACATGAAGGGACCTCACTCAAAGTAAGATGTAACCCCATCTCACTAGTGTCATTGAAAGTGAGAAAGGCATCGAGCAAGGCTGCATATTGGCCCCACTCTTGTTCAATTTCTACATCAACTCCATGGTGGGCCATCTCTACAACATGAACTTTCACTCCCCAAAACTTTCTGGAGGACACATCTTTGTTCTACTCTATGCAGAAGATGCAGCAATTCTTTCAAGAACACCTATTGGCCTTAAAAGAGCACTGAGAATACTAATGCAGGGCTGCAAGGAAAGCCAGCTAGAACT